TCGAAAGAGCTCAGTACCCTCAAGATATATTAAGTATATTTTCTATTATCCTCTAAACCTTTTACTATTCCATAGATTAGTTAGGGAATAATCCATAGACAATAGATAACTCCATAGAATAGTTAATGGACTAGTAAATTGATTATTCAATATATTAGTCAATAGACTTTTCTGCACATTTGTGAAAAGAGTAGTCCATACATTAGAGATTGGACTAGTCAATAGACTTCTTGACAGACTAGTCTAAACACTGGTCAATAGATTAGACAGAGGTGTAATCCATAGACTAGTTAACTGATTATTTCACATACAAGTGCAAAGATTAGTCATTAGACTAGTCCTAAGGTTAGACTATAGACTAGTCCAAAAACTAGACCACAGTCCAAAGATTACTCTATTACTAGTCCAAAAACCAGTCAACTTACTTGTCCATAGATTAGTTAACTAGTCCACAGACTAGTCGATAGAGTAGTCAAAACTAATAAATTAGTTCAAAGATTAGTCAGAAAACTAGTCGAATTGATTAGTCTATAAACTAGTCCACAGACTTGTCCACACATTAGTCCACAGATATGTCCACAGACTTGCGCACAGTAAAGTCCATAGGTTTATCCATAAACTAGTTCAAAATTTAGTCAGTACGCTAAGTCAAAGCCTAATCAGACTATACTGTTCTTTAAATTAGTGCATAAACTTTTCTATTCAATTAGTCAATGGAATGGCCCGTAGTTCCGGACTTGAAAGCCGTTAAGTAATTCAATACTTTTAATACAAAAGTTTCGAAATTGAAAATTTCTGTATATAATTTCAATTTTACCAACATAGAGGGCCTAATAGACTTCATAAATATGTTTTCATCTATTAAATGGGCGTGGCCAAAGTGTTTTTATGAATTTTAAACTAGAGCATATATAGTTCTATTTAAAAGAAAATTATTTTTTAAACTTGACAAATGGATTGGGAAATTTTTATAAACTATATAACGCTAAGTTGAAGGTTATTTACTTATAACTAAAAATTCACATACATTTCCGTTATTTGCCTTAAGACCGTTATAAATTAAAAAAAAAAATAATAATATTTTGAAAACAAACTTTAACTGAAAAGTCTCTTATTGGATTATAAAACCTAATTAGGGACTTTTACATGAAAGTTAATTTATAAAAGTTTTTTTTTAGAAAAATAAAATTGATTTATAAACCTCTGATGAATTATTAAGAAAACATAAATTTATAAAAAATTTTTAAAATTTAGTTTTTTTAATTTATAACCAGTCTAGGGGCAAATATTTTTTTTTTTTTTTGTTAAAAAAAAAATAATTTTTTTTTAATTTTTTTAGGAAAAACTTAAAACATCAAGAACAAATTGGCAGCAATTTTATAAAAAAACTAATTTTAAAGAAAACTGAAAAAGACTTCCTGCTTAAAGTTTTCTTTTTTTTCGTAAAAAAAAAACTAAAGAAAAATTAACATTAACTTTGGTGGCTATTTATAAAACGCTTATAAAACATTTATTATTGGCTACTACAACTTAGAAACGTGTTTAAATTTATTTAAAAAAACAATAATTTATGACAAAAATAATAATAATAAAAGTGACATTACAGAAACCAGAAAAAAAACGTTAAGTTTTTTTTTAACAAAAAAATTTCATAAGAAGAAATAAAAAACGATTATTGAGTTTAATAATTTAATTTATTTAATAACAAACCAGAACGTGAGACTTTAATATAAATTACAAATAAAAAAAAAGTATTGAAATTAAAAACAACAACAACAAAAAATCGTGTGTAAAGAAATAAAAAAAAATAGTTTCCTATTCAAATAAAATAAATAACAAAATATATACATATGAACGTTATTTTTTTCTATATACTTGGTAATATATACATACATATATAAACTGCAAATGTACAGGTAGTACATAAAGCAACAATAACAACAACAATATTAGTAAAGTATTTGAGTAGAGAAAAAAAATATTATAAATAAATAAATACAAAAAAAAAATACAAAAATAGTAACATAGATTCACCTTGAAATCGTTTTGTGTTCACTTTGAAGTGCAGTTGACGTTTGGGAGCTTAGAAAGAAACAAAAACTACAACAAAAACCATATAAATAATATAACAACCATAAAAACATTATAAGCAAAACAGGAGGAATAGCAGAAATTAATAAATAAAACTACAAAACCAGTAGATTTGAAATTTTATATAAAAATCATTTTCAAATCTAACAGAAATTTAAAAAAAAACTACCTCATTTTGTATCTAGCTATAAAAATATATATAAAAAACAACAAAAACAATAAATATATGTATACATACAACAACTAAAAACTCATATATCAGCTGAATAAAAACAACAACAAAAACAAATTAACTGCATTAAACCAGGAAAAAAAGCATACAACACGAAAAAAAAACTCCTCTGGGTCTGACTAATCTTTTTTATGAATTACTCATACTTTTTTACATACAACTACCACAGCAACAACAACAACCAAAACGTTTAGTTTCAATACTCTACAACACTGCCAAGGAGACTTTTTTTTTAAATAAAAACAGTTGTTGGTGTTTTCTTACACACTCACTAGACTATTTTGCTAAATCGTCAAAAACACAAAATTTTTAAATAACGAAATCAGTTTTTTAACAACGTGTTGTCAACGTCTTTGAATGAGTGATTATGAATTTTGAACTACGAGACCTTAAAACCAACATTAACACAACAACAACAACAAGAAAGCAAAAATTTTTTCAAAATTTTTAAGAAAACTTGTTAAAGAAATTAAATTGAACATGATTTGTGAATCATTTGGTTTAAATGATTTTAAAGAAGACGTAGAGATTTAGTGGAGATACCAATAACAACAATAACGACAACAACAACAGCAGCAGCAGTGACAGCCGTAGCAACATCAACAACAACGGCTGAAATTACCATAAATCCCTATATGATCACGGATTTGGAACAATCTTTAATCGAGGAGTTAATCGAAGAAAATTTAATGAAATTATAGAGAAGACGAAGAACACGAACAAGAAGAATTTGAAAATAATACAATATAAGAGAACAGCAGCAGCAACAAACAACAGCAAGAAATAGTTAATGTTAAAGATATAATATTAACAGCAGCAGAAGAAGAGGCAAACGAAGACGAAGAAGAATTAATACGAAATTCTATACATATGAAGGAGTATTGCTACAACAACAGCAACAACAAGAAATAATACAATATAAAGAAAATTTAATAAAAGCAAAAACAACAACAACTACTACTACAGCAGCAAAAAAATTGAAAAAAAACTTTAGCAGCGACTGCGACAAATATTACTCATAACCAACTTACAGCTGGTGGTAACATATGTACAATAAAAACAACAAAACTAAATACAACAAAAACAGCAAGAACAGCAATAGCAGCAGCAACAGCGGCAGTAGTAGTAATAATAAAACTTGTAACACCAACAGCAACAACCATCACAATATATTTAATATTAACAGCAACAGTAACAGTAGTAATACAAGCAATAGCAGCAGTACCAGCAACATTAGTAACACAACTAATAACAGTAGTGTTAGTACGAATAGCATAGCAACAGTAACAGTAACAACAGCAGCAATAGCAATTTAATAAAAACCTCCTCTAATTTAATAAAAACGCTTAATGTCGATGATAAAATCAATATAAATTTTGAAAATAATTTAAATTTTATAAATTTTAATAAAAATTTTAACAACAACAGCAATAATAATAATAACAACAATAACAACAACACAAATATAATCAATCAAAATTTATATCAACATAACAACAACAAATCCACACAAATTTTAAATAAAATGGAACAACAATTGCAACAGCAACAACAACAACATCAACAGCAGCAATTACAAATGCAACATCAACAACAACAACAGCAGCAGCAGCAACAATCAAATGTTGTTTTCGGTTCAGAACGTGTTAATTTGAACTCAAGTACCCCGTATTCAGATGCCACACAAGTAAGTACAACCAACCATTCAACCAACCAACCAACCAACCATCCCTCCATCCAACCCACCATCATTCTTCCCTTCTTTTACACACTTTTTTTTTTTGCTTTTCTATATGAATTATTATTATTCTTGTTGTTGTATTTTCAATTTATTTCGATTTTTTTTTTCTTTAAAATACAACAGAAAATATGCAATATTTAAAAGAATTATATACAAAAATAATAACAACAACAACCATAATAAGAAAACCCCCCACACTTAATATACATTTTGTATATTTACATGCATATAAATGTGTTTGTATGTATTTTATTATAAACATTTGTTAAAAGTTTTTATGTATGTATTTACAGCATACAGCTGTTGTTAGCTAAATAGCCCTAGGTCAATTATGTTTTAAACTTTTTGCTTTACTCCTAACCTTTGACATTTAATGCGGGCTTTTTAGTTCTGTTTGAAAATCATTGAAAATTGGGTTCGATTTACGAACTATCGCCTTAACTCGAACTAGATTATATTGCTCAAATAAAGATCTAAACTCTTGTAGCAAAAAATGAAGAATATTTTTTATAATTAAAAATCGAAATAACTCGGAAAAGGTCCAAAAGTCGAAAGAAGTTGGAAAAATCTATATAAAAATATCAAAAAAAAAGATCTAAAAGTTTTTGAGCTCTAAGTACAATAAATTAAATTAAAATTTTTCTGTATAACAGTTCTTTTACGTAGGACATTTTCTGTATAACAGTTATTTTTAAAGAAAATTTTATGTATAACAGTTTTTTACGAAAATTATCAGAAAAAAGTTTTTGGGTTAAAAATTTCCCATATAACGTTTTCTTTAAAGAAAAGTATCCGTATAACAGTTGCTTTAAAGGAAATTTGGTGATAAAAGTTTTTCTATTAAAAATTTGTTGTATAACAGTTTTTTCCTAGAGAAAATTTTATGTGTAAAAGCTTTTTCTAAAGAAAATAAATGTATTAAAGGTTTGACATCAAAAATTATCTGTATAACAGTTTTTTTTATAAAGAATAACATTCGTATAAGAGTTTTTTATAAAGGAAATTAAGTAATAAAATGTTTTCTAATAATTCTATAAAGAAAAATGTCTGTATAACAGTTCTTTTCTGAAGAAAGTTTTGTGTATAAAAGCTTGTTCTAAAGAAAATAAAAATATTAAAGTTTTGGCACCAATTTCTAAGGAAAAGTATTCGTATAACAGTTTTTTTTTTTTCAGAAAAAAAAAATAAGTAATAAACATTTTTCTAGTGAAATTTTTTTGTATAACAGTTTTTCTATAAAAAAAATTGCCGGTATAACAGTTTTTTATGCATAAAGTTTTATGTGTTAAAGCCTGTTCTAAAGAAATTAAAAATATCAAAGGTTTGACATTAAAAATTATCTGTATAACAGTTTTTTTTCTAAAGAAAAGTACTCGCATAACAGCTTGTTTTTCTTCTTTTAATAAGAAAAATTTTATGTTTTTGTTTGTTTTTTTCTAAAGAAAATGAGTAGATAAAAGTTTTTGTGTAAAAAAATGTTCCGTATAACAGTTTTTCTACGGAAAGGTAAACGTATTACAGTTTTTTCTTAAGAAAATTAGGTTATACCAATAATTTTCTGTAAAATGGTTTATCACAAAGAAAATTGTATGTATAACAGTTTTTTTTTTGTGTCAAAAATGTTCCGTATAACAGTTTTTGAAAAGAAACTTATTAGTATAACAGTTTTATTCTTAAAAAAATTAGCTTATACAAAACTTTTCTGTAAAATAGTTTATCCCAAAGAAAATTTTATGTATAACAGTTTTTTTGTGTAAAATATGTTCCGTATAACAGTTTTTCTTAAGAAACTTATTAGTATAACAGCTTTTTTTCTTAAGAAATCAGATTATACAAAACATTTTCTATTAAACAGGTAAATCCAAAGAAAATTTTCTGTATAACAGTTTCTGTGTAAAAAATGTTCCGTATAACAGCTTTTCTAAAGAAAAGTATTAGTATAACAGTTTTCTTCTTAAGAAAATTTGCTTATAAAATCAGTGTTATGTAAAACAGTTTATTCCAAATAAAATTTTATGTATAACAGTTTTTTTGTGTAAAATATGTTCCGTATAACAGTTTTTCTAAAGAAAAGTATTCGTATAACAGTTTTCTTCTTAAGAAAATTTGCTTTTACAATAAATATTCTGTAAAACAGTTTATCTCAAAGAAAATTTTATGTATAACAGTTTTTTTTGCTTAAAAATTTTTCCGTATAACAGTTTTTTTAAAGAAAATTATTCGTATAACAGTTTTTTTCTTAAGAAAATTTGCTTTTACAAAAATTTTCTGTAAAACATTTTATCTCAAAGAAAATATTATGTATAACAGCTTTTTTTGGTGTAAAAAATGTTCTGTATAACAGTTTTTCTAAAGAAACGTATTCGTATAATACTTTTTCTTCTTAAGATATTAGTTTATTCAAAAAAATTTCTACAAAACTGTTTTTTCCAAAAACAAATTTTCTGTATAACAGTTTTTTTTAAGAAAATTTTCTGTATAACTATTTTTTTTCTCAAGAAAATGTTTTGTATAAAAGTTTTTTCTAAAGAAAATTAGTAGATAAAAGATTTTGTGTACAAAAATGATTCTATAAGCAAACGTTTTTGTATAACAGTTTTTTTTAATCTAAAGAAAATTAAAATCTCACGTATAACAGTTTTATTTGAAAAAAAACTTTATGTAAGTTTTGTTTCTATAAAACTCAAGAGATAAAAGTTTTTTTTTTGCCAAATATTTTCTGTATAACAGTTTTTTTTAAAGAAAATTATTCGTATAGCAGTTTAGCTGATAAAAGTTGTTCTATACATTTTAAGTATAACAACTTGCTGATAAGTTTTTTCACAAAATTTTTCTATATAACAGTTTTATTCGATTTCGAGTTTGATATTGCTATCAACTTGCATTTCTTTAGAAATATTTCCAAACAAAAAAACATAGAAATATCTACATCTATTACTAATTAGCTGACACTAGCTGTAACTTTACAATATTTTCTATATGTCTTGGTAAGTTTATAATAGCAGACATACACACTTTTTTTTATTCTTACACACAGTCATACGAAAAATCAACAAAAATAACAACAAAAAAATGCAAAAATAAATATATAAAATAATAAAGCGAACAACAACACTTTGGACACATAGATTTTTATTAGATATTGCGCGTCTCTACCCAATATACAGAAAAAAATACAAAAAAATATTTCTGTTTATTCATTCGCCTGTCAAGTGAATGAACTTTTTGTAAACTTTCGTTATGAACTCACTCACATTTGATTGAAAATCAATTCAAGGCAAATTTAAATAAATGTTAATGCACCTTTTTTTTTTTAAAAAATAAATAAAAATAATAATAAAACAAATAAATGCTCACACACATACACACTTAAAAATAATATTAAATAAATACAAAACTGTATAGTTAAATATTAAACCTTGTAAAACAAATTAAATCAAACAAACCTACATAAACACTCATTACAGTTCAGTTCAATTCAAGTTAACCTCACCCGCATGTGAATTTAACTGTTGAACGGTAGTTTTGTTTTTATTTTTAAACTATTGTCAATAAACTTTTGTTTATTTTTTATTTATTTATGAAACATTTTAAATTATTTAAATGTGTCTGACCGTTAAGAGTTTAATATTTTGGTTTATGTTATGTTTCAAGTTTATTTATGAGCATTTATTTAAAGAAATAATTTGATAGTTTGTTTATCTTTTTTATAAAGTTCATTATAGAGTTAAACTAGGTTTAAGGCTGTGTGTTTGGTAAGGGTTAAATTTTAATAGGTTTATTAACTTTTTATGAAACTATTATTTAAAATCTTTATTTAAACAATTTCAAATGTGTTTTAATATAACCATAACAACCTTGGGAGATTTAGCTCTCTTAAGGGTTAAAATTACCTGGTAAATTGAGGTTAAGTGGACAAATCCAACTTCCCTATTTTCCGCAAGCTTTAAACATGTTTATCCTCTTAAGCAATAAAAGAGAACAAGTTAATATTTTGTTCGAAAGACTAGACTGTAGACTAGACTATAGACTAGACTGTAGAGTAGACTATAGACTAGACTATAGACTAGACTATAGACTAGACTATAGACTAGACTATAGACTAGACTATAGACTAGACTATAGACTAGACTAAAGACAAGACTAAAGACTTGACTATAGACTAGACTATAGACTAGACTATAGACTAGACTATAGACTAGACTATAGACTAGACTATAGACTAGACTATAGACTAGACTATAGACTAGACTATAGACTAGACTATAGACTAGACTATAGACTAGACTAGACTAGACTAGACTATAGACTAGACTATAGACTAGACTATAGACTAGACTATAGACTAGACTATAGACTAGACTAAAGACTAGACTATAGACTAGACTATAGACTAGACTATAGACTAGACTATAGACTAGACTATAGACTAGACTAAAGACTAGAGTATAGAATAGACTATAGACTAGACTATAGACTAGACTATAGACTAGACTATAGACTAGACTATAGACTAGACTATAGACTAGACTATAGACTAGACTATAGACTAGACTATAGACTAGACTATAGACTAGACTATAGACTAGACTATAGACTAGACTATAGACTAGACTATAGACTAGACTATAGACTAGACTATAGACTAGACTATAGACTAGACTATAGACTAGACTATAGACTAGACTATAGACTAGACTATAGACTAGACTATAGACTAGACTATAGACTAGACTATAGACTAGACTATAGACTAGACTATAGACTAGACTATAGACTAGACTATAGACTAGACTATAGACTAGACTATAGACTAGACTATAGACTAGACTATAGACTAGACTGACTATAGACTAGACTATAGACTAGACTATAGACTAGAACTATAGACTAGACTATAGACTAGACTATAGGACTAGACTATAGACTAGACTATAGACTAGACT